ATTAACAACAGGAAAAAGTTTGCCTCCTCTGAAAAAAAACAGATGCTCATTTCTATGGATTATGTGAGCCACAGTCCTTTCTGCCTTGGCTACCGGGAAACTCAGAATGAAATTTGTCTCACTTGCCTTAATCACTCTTATTTTTTATTTCAATTATCATTATTTCCCTGCACTTCCCTACTTCCCCTTCAATTACATGATTCCTTTTTATGTGTCCTTTTACAAAATGATACATTTGTACTTATGCTTCTAGTTGTAATCCATCTCCAGTCCTGTTTTGGAACATAGGCTAAGAAACGAATCAAATAACCCCAGATTCATGGGAGCAGTGCTAGGAGTGGAACTCAGGGTCACCACTTGTCACACCTGCTGTCTATCCTTTGAAATGGGCGCCTTCAAGCTGTCCCTCCCATGCTGGGGGCCTGAGCAGTCTTCCTGCTGGCTTTCCCAGTGACTGCATCGCAGACCTTGCACATGGAGCCATTATGTTTACGGACGCCCCAAGGACCCATGCTATAGGAAACAGAAATCCCCCAGCACATAGTCCAAAGGCCATCTGTTCCCGCCTCTCCACTGATTCCGTGTCTGGGCTCCTGGCTGGCTTGGCAGATTTAAGGGACTGGGCCTGTGCTCCCCGCAACACTGCAGATGTTGGCTGTGAAGGGAAATCGCAGGAAGGAGCAGCCCCGATCCCGTGCCAACTGTGCTGCCCGACACACCACATGGGAACCACAATACCAACAACAGCAATAACAGCAGTTGTCTTGTGTTGTGTGTGCCCTAAGCTAGGCATCCTCAATGCACCGTCACTGCTCCTTACAATAGCCCTGCAAGACATTTATTACTCCTGGTTTGGAAATGGGGGGAGCTCTGAGCCTACTTTCCTGAAAAGGTATGACTTCCTGGAAGTTCACGGCATCTACTTGCATGGTTAGGACTCATAAACTAAAGTCCTTATAGGCTCCGGGGAGCAGCATACGTGACCCCGGCAATATTAGTCACTCTATTAATAACAGCTACAAAAGCTTTGACAGATTGGACAGAAGTGATTTTCACCCACCCCAGGCATGTCACTTCTTCCAAATTGAGTCAACTCTGGCTGGATTAACATGATTTCATTGACAAGAATGGATGCAGTTTTCCCCCTCACCCATTCCCAGGCTTGTTTCTGCTGCAGGCAGAGAAGTAATAAACGTAAGGAGTGAGAAAGGGGGCGGGGTAGGGGGTGTTCATTCATATATAATGAGAGTGAATGAGAAATAAACATAGATATTGACCATAATCTAGAAGGGCCGCCTTGGTAATGAGCAGAGGTGAGAAAGTGCCCATTTCAAACCTTCCCAGGCTGCTCAGGGCCAAAGGCCAGGCCTTCCCACCCCCTTCCTGTGCATGGATGAGTGTCCCTCACAAAATGCTGGCTCCTCTGTTGTTGTTTTTGGAAAACAAATGCTTCCTTCCAAGGTTCCCCCTCCCAGTTAATATCTGTGCTTGGGACTCTGAGTCCCTGGACACATTACTATGGATTTGTCCAGGTTTGAGATCTCGATTTCGTGATTTCTTCCCCATCTTCCTGGTCTCTCTGGACCCCACTGAGTTATGACACAAACCTCCACCGGCTTAGCTGATCCCACGCCATGCCTCAGTCTTCCTCCACATTCCGCCTGCCGCCAGGATGTGGCTCTCTGCAAATGTAGTTTATTCTCATTGTAGTCACTTCCCAAACCCATTAAAAAAGGAGGGAAACGCCACTGAGCCCAACACTAACCGTACACAGACTGTCCTGTTTCATCTTCCCCTCCAGGCTCCTTTCTCATCTCAGGAACTGGGTTTAACCCTCACCCCTGGGATCAGGTTCTCAGGTTAATTTTTAAAAACATATGCATCCGACCCAGCATACCAAGTTATACCCCCCTCTCCTGGTTATGACACCCACTGTGAGGTCAACGACAAGCCACTGCGTTCTATGAGTACAAAGAAGATCAGGGACACCAGAACAGTCCACCTGTGTGGAGTCCGGGGCCCAGAAACCTGCGGGAAAGTTCTTTCTGTTGTATTTGAAGCCTTGTAGGAGTCACCACCTGGCTTTGCTCTCCCTGGTCCAACACATTTACATGCAGAATCCGTCCTGTGGTAACGAGCTGCTATGTGACACAGCATTTAATTAGTGTTTTGATGTCTGGGCGTGTGTGTTCTTCCTGCTGTGCCTTTGACTGTCAGCTCTCTGAGGGCATGGATTGTTTCTGTGCCCCGTGGGGCTTCTCCAAACACTCTTCTTCAAGGGGAGCTCCATCCTGCTGGTTGCCTGTTGGATCAGTAGGGAAGCTGGTTGGGGGACTAGGAATTGAGAATAGACATAAAAATATTTGAGAACTCAGACACAGTACTAAACTCCTGTATTTCCATAGCACTGGCCAAGCACTGGATTCTTACAACAACCTTCTAAGAAAAATTGGACAGGTGTTATTCTGTCCATATCACAGATGAGGAAACTAAGGCTCTTTAAGATGAAGTGACAGCCCCAAATCACAGAGCAAATAAGTGCAGTACCAAGGTGAGTAGTCTGGTCTTCTGAGGACTCATCCAGTGTAGGTGTCTACCACTCCCTGCCTCCACAATGAAAAAGAAGGAGGGGTAGAAACAATCTAAGTGCCCATCAGTGCATGAATGGACAAAGATGGCGCGGTGCGTAATCACAATGGAGTGTTATTCAGCCATGAGAAAGAAGGACATCCTGCCATTTGCAACAACATGGATGGACCTTCAGCACATTATGCTAAGTGGAATAAGTCAGAGCAAGAAAAGTACTGTATGATATCACTTATATGTGGAATCTAAAAATCTAAATTTGTAAAAACAGGGTAAAATGGTGGTTACTAGGGAATGGAGGATGGGAAAATAGGACAGATGTTGTTTAAGGGTACAAACTAGCAACAAGTAGTAAATAAGTTCTAGAGATCTAATGCACAGTATAGTGAATATAGACAACAATATTGTATCATAATCATCAAACTTGCTAAGAAACTAGAACTTAATTATGCCCACCACTAAAAAGAAAAGAATTATGCAACATTATAGAGGTGCTAATTATTGCTACAATGACAATCCAATTACAATATTTAAATGTACCAATTAGCATGTGGTACACCTTAAATTTATACATTATATGTCAAATACATTTGAATTATAAAAAAAAAAATGCAAAAAGAAAAAGGAGGGAAACTCAAAGATGGCTGTGTTACAATATGTCCTTGTCTTAATCATCTACAAATTCAAGTGCAGGTACCAGCTAAACAATAATGGTTCAGTTCCACTAGGCTAAATGTTTGAGGCACATAAACTCAGAAGGCAGATATGCTCTCAAAGGTATGAGCTTATAAAAGGACAAGCAGAGACCAGAGGGACAAGAGGCAGGCACTACTTGGGGACTGAGTCTGGGAATGAGAAGGAGAAGAAGGTGGTAGAGAAACAAGAGGTGTGGTGGGGTGTCCACGGAACAGACAGGAAAGCTAGGAGAAGGCATTAGGAGAGAGAGGTGGAAGGGAGAGGGAAATAGGGAAGGAAGAGTATGAGAGTGAAAGAAAGATGGGAAAGAGAGCAAAGAAGAAAGAGAGACAAAGAGGGGAGAGTAGAAGAAGAATACATACTTCTGTGTCTCTAGGTTTCCTGCTAAAAGGATAGTCCTAGGGGATGGAAGCAGTAGCATGGGCATTAGCGTTTTGCTCACCTCCTTTCCGTGGATCAGCCAGCAGAGATAAAAACACAGAAAGTGAGATACAAATAGAATGAGATTAAAAGAATATTAGATAATCAGATATACCAGAGAAAGGAGAAGAAATATATATATTGAAGTTAGAAGGACGACAAAGGAAAGGTTGGCCACGTTAGCACCCCATCGGGGGGAAGCAGAAGCCTCTATCCAAGGCTGAGACTTGGATCATGTTGCCAACAGGTTGGCAGAAGAGGCGGAGGTCCAGAACGAAGATGAGGCATGGTATTTAAAGACAGCAATAACAGGAGGGAGAGGTCTAAAACTAGGAGACAATGAACACAGCAGTGCAGTGGAAGGGGAAAAGATCACAGTGTGAAACCAAGACACTCAGCCATGTGACCCGAAACAGTGACCTCTTATTGGCAGGATGTGTGTAGCCAATTTTCATGTCTTTTTTTTTGTTCATTGCTTAATAGTCATGTGTCCACCTGCCATCTTTTACCCATTTTAATAAGCCTATAGGAATAGGACCCTCACACTTTATCCTTCTCAAGTAGAGGATTCATGAGAACATCACACATGGTGGTATTTGATGAGTGATTTTTGATGGGGACAATCGATCTGTTGATAGTGAAGATGGTGTAGGCATAGCTAACAATGCTAATCAGATAATGGAAATATTGAAAGGAAGACATGTTGATGACATTCAGGACATCAAGGGTAATATGATGAGAGCTCTGATGGTCATTCCAGAAAAGGAGTTCCAAAGTTGCTTGGAAATGTGGACTAGGTGCTAGTGTCAATGCATAGCTTCCCAAGGGGAGTGCTTCAAAGGTGTCCTTAGTGATATTCAGCAACGAGGTATGTAGCACTTTTCCTAGGATGAGTTCGCGAACTTAATTGTCAGACCTTGTAGCTCACTTAAACTATTGGGTTGTCGGAAAAGTCATGATGTATTTTTTTCTATGTTTTTCATTGCAAAAATGTGTCACAACTTTTCCGACAACCCAATAGATTATCATCTGCTCCAAGGTACTTCCTAGAGACATCTCAAATGGCCAAAGCCAATACCCACCCATTTCCCCTAAAATGTCTATTTAAAAAAGAATGGTGAATCTGTGAACATGTTTCCTTTCTCTTTGGAGGTGTTTGCTGGATATTGTTTTCCAAGAAGACTGTCACCTAGGAATTCCCTGGGGAGATTCTTAAATTATACATAGACTACATCATCTAAAAAGGACCTCAGAAACCATCTAAGCTGTGTGGTTCTCAACCAGATGTGGATCAGAACCTCCTGGGGATTTTTTTTCCCACAATACTGATGCCAGAACCTCATTCCATACCAACCAAAAAAATCAAAATCCCAGAGGGGGACACTGGCATAAAATTTTTGAAAGCCTTCCCCAGATGATTTTGATGAACTCTCCTGATTAAGAACCTTCTATTTCACAGAAAAAAAAGATAAGTGAAACCCACCATCACACAAACTTAGTGACAGAGTCACAACCAAAATAGGTGTCTTCATAGCAAGTTTGGTGCATTTCTGTGTGTGTGTGTCAGAGAGACAGAGATAAAGTAATAAAGACAGACAGAGACAGAAAGGGAGAGATCACTCATAGGTCACTTAAACTAGATTATCATCTGCTCCAGGACACTGTCTAGAGATATCTCAAATGATCAAAGCCAATAACCACTCATTTCCCCTAACATGTCTATTAGAAAAAGAATGGTGAATCTGTGGACATGTTTCCTTTCTCTTTGGAGGTGTTTGCTATTGCATGCTACTGATGCAATCAGCATGGCTTGCTGTCTGTTCTCATTACTACATTCACTCTAAAGAAATGCCTGGCAGTGTTGGAACTCCAAGGGGAGGGAGAAAGGAGGTATAATGGAGAAATAAAGAACTTGATCAGAGAAATGTTTGGCTTCTCATGGAACACAACCAGGTGAAGCTCTGAGGGGAAAGGATCTCCCAAACCCAGCCCCTCTCCCACCCCAGCTCTCTTTCCTGTCCTCCCCACATCATTGTCCCATATTTAGGATCCCTGGGGAGTCAGCTGTGGTTTCAACCCCACAAAATCCATGTCCCACCTGGCGCTGTTCCCAAATTCTTCCCATCCATCGAACCCTCAGGACGCCCCCAAACCCAAGAGAAACATGCTCATACTTTCTTGGTAGGAACTTTGATCTTCAAGATTTCTGCCTCTCTGGCCAGCACCTGCCACGGAGCATGTATCCGGACAAAGATAGATCCCTGGCTTTTACTCTGTAAGGTACAAAGGAAGAAGAAATGGAAACATTTATAAGGACATAACTTAAATGTCTGGCTCCCCAGCTTTCCCAAAGGAGAAGCCCCAACCTGTTGTTTCTTCAGTTTCTGGGTTTTGTTCTCTTTAAACTTCACCAGGAGCCCGTCCCCTCCCACCCACACCCCATCCACCAGTTCTGTTCCAGAAATGCTCTCATCAAAACCCACAGGGCAGTGTTCCCAAAGTGTGGTCCCTGGAGTTTGGTGGCTTCAGAGGAAAGGAAGAGTTAAAACCATAGTGTTCACAGATTTGAAACGTGAGCAATTATGATTTTCACAGATATCCTATTAACTCATAACAGCAGTTGCTCGGTTTACCTCTGCCAGCATTCAGTAAACAGCCTGCAATTTGTCTTCTTGCACATATTTTCATTGTTTATTGTTAAGTTTGTATTTTTGTTCTACTACTGTGCTATGTCATAGCCCAAAAATCACAAAATTGGTTCATCTAAGCCTAAAAGTAATGATATAAATAAGAATTTAAATGGTACAATGCAAAATAATATCACAAACATAAATCATGAACAGAGCTCCAGTGTGAATATAAAGTATAAATCTATGTCCCAGGACAAGTGATTCTGTGAGTATATTGATTTCACCCAAAGATGAAAAGTAAGGAAAGGAAATGCAGTAATGAGTATTTGAAAATTAGGTCTTATTGACTTAACAATCCATTGGCCCTGGTCACCATGTCTGTTATAAAAATTGGTCAGATTATGACATAAAGCTACCAGTTTCTCTTCATTTTCAAATAAAACCACAAATTTTTTCAGAACAAGCACATAGAGGGAAAAAAAAACACTCTCTGGCATTCAATTAATTTTGTCACTAAAGAATGAAAGAGATCAGAACAAGGAGGAAAAGCAAGTAAAAGTCCCATCATTTGTGAGAAGCTTCTAAAACTACCTGCAAAATTAATCGCAAGTACTGTGTCCACAGAGAAAGTGGAACAAGATGATAGCAAAATTCCTTCATCAAATGACTGTTGGAAACCTAAAACCCATGCGCCATCATGGGGAGATGCTGGTGTCCTGGCCAACATGCCATTTACATGAGGATGCAACCTCTGGGGGGTAGAGTGGGACCCGAGACAGAGCAAGTGTACTCTCCAGGGAGACGTGCTTGCAGCTTCTTGTTCCATTTTCCCCCTGAAGACCCATGCTACAGAAGAAAGGAGGTTTTCACTGAATTACTGTGTATTTTGTGAAGCAGGATGCATGGAAACCAGTGCTGAGACGGCACCAGCTCTGTGTGCAGCGAAGGTGGTACCGCTCACGTATAAGCAGTTGTCCCTTTTGAAAATCATTCCCCAGTTTCAGCCACAAAGACCGGTTGGTGGTCAACCACATGCCCTCTGTTTTCGGTTTAGTGTTAAGATAATAGTGGCAGCCATCCACGCACAGCCTCTGACCATCTGCCTTTCCGGTGTGCCAGGCAGAGAAAGAGACGTCAGGGAGAGACTGCTTTGCCCACTGAAGTACACCAAGTATGACAGTGCTCACATACGTTTTTGAAACGATGAATAAAATAAAAAGATATTTTAGGATGCTCATAATGCAAGTGAAGACTATTTCTATGATTCTGAATGGCAGCTCCACAATATACTCAGTAATTCAAATATCCAGAACCTACCTCCACTTCGGGAATGAAAGCTGATGATTTCTAAGAGAGGAGAATGAAAAAGAAACCAGGATTTCACAAGAAATTGAACTGTAGTACGAAAGTCTAGGGTATACCAATACTTGAAAATAAGAACAGTAACCTAGATGCTTGTTTACTGACATATGCTAGGACAGAGCTGGGGAGTTTTGTGCTTTAGCTCACAGAATCTTCACAGCCATGCTGGAGGGCAGGTACTATTACCATCTCTATTTTACAGTTGAGGAAATCGAGGCAGGAAAAATTTAAGTAATTCATTCAAAGTTACACAGATAGTGTGATTTTAAAGAAGTATTTGAATGCAGGCAGTTTGTGCTCTACCTGATTATTATTTCCTCTCATCAGAGACAGATATGATATGTTACCGAGCATAGTTAAAAACCACAGCCAAGGGCTGCAACAGGACATAAAGATGTGATTTGAGACTAAAAGTAAATGAAAGGATGGATAAGGAATCTATGAAGCTGTCCTAAGATGAAACGCTCCACCTTCCAGCTGCCAAGTGGGCATAGTTATGAGAAAGCCCTGGAAGTGGACTTCAGCGAGACATCTCCCCAGTTTCTATATCCATCTATGGCTGCCATATCCAGGACTACTAGACAGAATCATCAATCACTTGCTGCTACTTCTAACTGTAATTTAAGCTTTTCTAATTTAGTGAAAGGCAAGTCTAAGAAAAGAAACCATCTGTGAAGCTGCCCTTCAGCCCAGCTCTCCATCATGCCCCAGAAACAATGTTTTTGGTGAAAATGACAAACAGTACCATCCCTCTCACAAAGATGAAATCATGAGTATTATTGATTTTAAAATATTTTGTTTGGTTTTACTTTTTATTTGTGATGAACCCTCTTTTTAAATTTTATATAGAATCGGTGGCTCAAGTGTGTACTAAATGTCCACAAAGTGGACATTTCAAAGTTTGAGAAAGGGTTGAACAGACTAAGGTCAAATCCCATGACCTTGGTGGCAGACCACCAGCTGTCCCCTAACAGCCATTCTCTTTTTCTTCATTTTTTAACTAAGCATATGGCCATCCAGAATGAAGACTCTATGTCCCTTGCAGTTGAGTGTTACCATGCCACTAACTTCTGGCCAATGTGGCATAAGTGGAAGTGTTGTGAAGCGGTTTCTGGCCACCCTCTTCAGAGACAGCAAGTAGATGCCTTTTGCCCTTCATCTTCTTCCTTATCCCTGAGCTACTTCCTGGAACATGGATATAAGCATCTTAGACCTGGAGGTCAAAGTCAAGGCCAGAAACAGCCAAGTATGAAGAGTCCTAACTCTAGAGGCTGTCATAGCAGCGCTTGGCTGTCTCCTGGATTTTTATGTGAAAGATAAAATTCTACTGTGTTTAGCCATTGTGATTTTTAGATGCTCTATCAATAGCAGCCCAACCTTTTAGTAACCAATGCAAAATTGTTTTCCAGTGTGGGGCCATTCGTTATCTCCAGCAAAGCATGCTTCGCCTCCATTCTCCTCAAATGGAACTTGTTTCAAATGAAAATAAAAGCTGGAATGCAATTTTGCAGTGCTAACATCTAGTCATCATGTTCCTTTTATGCCATGCAATGTTGTTACCTTCTCATAAAAAGGAAGCTATGAGAGCTGTTGTGAAATATTAGCTGGTGTGACTGGCTATGTCTCCCAAAGAAAAAACAAAAACTCCTGATCAGAACCATCACCAAATGCAGAAGCCCTTCTTCCTAAGCCAGGAATCTAAAATTAAAGGTTAACATAGTTTAAGCTAATAATAAAAAAAGTAAGTTACTTGTTCTCTAGGCCCAACTGACTTCCATTCTGCCCTGTATGTGGATCATTTCAGGTATAACAGAGGAATGGCAAGAGTTTGGGCTTCAGATTCAAATAGAGTAAGATTTTAATCCTCGATTTTACGGCTGTGAGACATTGTGCAAGTCACTTAACCAAATGAGCCTCAGTTTCTTGATGTGAATAAGGAATATAAAAAACATTGAAGGACTATTGTGAGAATTAGAGATAAAATACGTTAAGTCCTGACTATACTGCCTGGAATGTGGACCATTCAATAGGTGTCAGCCATTTCCATGGTGACTGCTTCTTGCAGGGACAGTATCTGATACTTCTTTTACATTCCTCAAGCACCTAGAACAGGGCTGGACACACAGTAGGTCCTCACTGAATTCCTGCAATTGATAGAAGAAACTTGGAGAAAAACAGTTCCCATTAGGGTAAAATTGTGAATAAGTAATCCTGGTTTGTTTACTGCCTCGAACTTTTTAAATTATCAACAGGCTTTTCAAAATGTCTCACATACCCTAAAGGAATTCACAGGTTCAAAATATAGTGCATCTCCAGAATTTGAGGACAAAATAAAAAATAAAAAAAACACATTACTTTCTGAAACAAAAAATTTAACATAAAATATAAGAGATTAGCCATCAGCGTATAGAACCCATTCCTAAAAGAGATTTTATAAATAATTAACTGATGTGATTGGAGGAGCTTCCAAATATCATCAGACAACTAAAATTTAATTTCATGTAAAATGAGCTGTAACATATAATTTGGTTCTAGTCATCAGAAAAATGATAACCAGCATGCAAAGATTTCTGTAGGAAGCCCCAAGCACATCCATCAGGGGGCTGCAACTATTCCAGTGGCAAGAAACGTGAGGTATACGACAGGGCAAAAAATTTTCGCCAGTGCAATTGAAATGCCCACAAAAACTATGCAACTTCTTTCAGTGTGATTCCATTTTCATAAAATGCTACAAATTCTTTCTCCAGTTCCTGAGTATCAGGAAGAATTTACCCAAGAAGAGAGTGTGAGTATTCTGGTCAAAGGAAATGAATACTCCTCAACCATAACCTGACCCTTGTCTTTCTCAGTCTCTTTTAAGTTGTGTTGTCAGTTGGTTTCCTAGGCCTGGTCACCACTAAGTAAACCAAGCGACAAAGACGCAAAGTCAGGCCGCCATCTTGAACTTGTGCCCGGCCTGCTCAGCCAGTCTCTCGCTCTCTCCCTTCTTCTCTTCCTCTCTCAAGCTGCCTCAGCAGCAGGCCTGATCGCATACACCTTCTCTAAGGCTCCAGCACTCCCCCCCCGCCCCAGCGCCGGACACCAGCCACACAGGCCTTCTCATTGGTTTCCCTCTGCTCCAGCCAGCTTCCCACCTTGGCACCTCCTCATCCAGTTCACTTCAGAACTTCTTTATACTCTGTTTCCTCCACTGCAAAGTCCTCTGCACCCCTAGATCCAGCCAACTCCTAATTGGGTCTCCATTGAAACAAGAATTCCCCTGGGAGGCCTTTCCTGAACCC